CATCCTGACGATGTCCGGACGGGTAAGTTGCCCCGTGTTGAGTCAAATTAAGCCGCAGGCTCCACTCCTTGTGGTGCCCTTCCGTCAATTCCTTCAAGTTTCAGCCTTGCGACCATACTACCCCCGGAACCCGTAAACTCTCAGGTTGCCCGAAGCCGCCACGGACGGGTCCATAACCGCTGTTCTCGAGCCTCGTCCGCGGCCCGGTCGGCAGCGTTTACCGTCGGTACTACGACGGTATCTGATCGTCTTTGCTCCACCCACCTTCGTTCTGGATTAAGGAAGACGTCCGGGGCCAGCGCTTTCGCTTCGAGTCGTCCCGAGCGGATCACAAAATTTCACCTCTCCCCGCCCGGTACGCTCGCCCCCCACCGTTCCTCTCGAATCCTAGCTCTCCGGCGAAACCGACAGCGAAAGCGACGTCGCCAGTCGGTCGGACCGCCCTCCGGAAAAGAGCATCCCCGCTTATTCCATGCACGAAATATTCAGGCTCGGGGTTTTAGCCTGCCTTTAGCACTCTAATTTTTTCAAGGTAGACAGAAAATGCGGCGGGTTCTCTCCCGTGAAGGAGAAAAACGAGGCAGGACCGCGAAGTCCACCTCGCCCCGCGCGCTGGTTAGGGACGGCCGAGAAATCGCCGGTCGGACCCGCAGCGTATCGCGCCCGACCGTGCCGCCTCCGAGATCCAACGACGAGCTTTTTAACCGCAGCAACTCCGATATAGGCTATTGGAGCTGGAATTACCGCGGCTGCTGGCACCAGGCTTGCCCTCCAATAGCTCCTCGCACACTCTTTTAAATTGCGCTCATTCCGNCCGCGGCGACCACGAAAGGGCCCCGCCACGTTATTTTTCGTCACTACCTCCCCGTGTCGGGATTGGGTAAGTTGCGCGCCTGCTGCCCTCCTTGGAGGTGGTAGCCGTTTCGCAGGCTCCCTCTCCGGAATCGAACCCTGATTCCCCGTTACCCGTCAACACCGTGGTAGGCAGGTCGCCGACCATCGCCAATTGATGGGACAGACACTTCATGGCAAAGTCGTCGGGGGCCCGGAAAGACCCCGCGATCGGCACAGTTATTCGGATTTCAACACTTGTCGCTTCGCCCCGTCGCTACTTTTGACGGTAGCTTCGCAGGCTAGGGCGATCTGGTCCAGAGAATAAATGCCGTTTCCCCGAGACGAGAAGACTACGGGGACCACGGTGCGTTGCATGTATTAGCTCTAGAATTACCACAGTTATCCATTAAAACCGACCCGCTTTTAGCCAAGGAACCTTATCTGACTAATGAGCCGTTCGCAGTTTCGGCTCGCTCCCCGAAAGGAACAAGCCTGAACTTAGACTTGCATGGCTTAAGCTTTGAGACAAGCATATGATCACTGGCAGGATCAACC